AAGATTACTAAGAAAAGCTATCACGTTCAATGTTAACGTTTGTTATTATATTACAATGTAATTGATAATAAATTCTGAAAAATTTCCGGTTCAGAAAATATACTATATCAGAATAATATACTTCTTCTTCTTATAAAAATACTCGCAAATTTTTCATTTAAAATATTAGTAAGATTATTAAAAAAAGTCATCTTGTTCAATGTTATTATGCTGTAATTTACATTTAATTCTAAAAAAATCCTGGTATCAAAATATAATTCAAGGGTCACAAGTTGAATATGTCCATGCTATCATTGGACTATGATACTGTTCAATTATTCAATATCAAAACTTATTTCTATTTGCGGATGATACAAATTGTCTTTGATAGATTGATTCAGTATCTCTTCTATTTACACGTTAACAAATTAGAAAGCTGCATCTCCCACGTAACTGCTCAATGTCGGTTTATATTTTATTTTTAAAAAGTAATGGCTATTAAATGTAGCGCAGGGAGAGAATTGAAAGGTCAAGTTTTAAATGTCATGGTATACGTCACTACATTGAAGGAAATATACGTAATAGTAACTCAGGAATGAAGAGAATATTTTAAAGAAAGTATTATATGAATGTGGTTATACGGGCAAACCGAAAATTATATGGATAGACTGTGTAAAAAAATGATATGACGAGAAAAAAACATATGAACCCCAAATGAATCGGATACGGAAAATGCAGATAATGTGTACTTCACAGAATTATGTAAAGCTATTTGAAATTTATTTCCGAAAAGGCTAAAGTGCATATATCGAAATGTTTTTTTTAATTGTATAGATCGGTATACCTAACGCTATACTACGCTAATACGCTAAATGTTATACTAATAACATACGGCGAGGCACCAGTGGCTAGAGAAGATGATATGATGAATATCTATATAGTCAGTTCGTCACAGTCATTAACCATGGTGGTTATCAACTAGGGCCGCGTAGAGGTCGAACGGACATAGTACAAAAAATACCTTTTCTATTATTAATTGTTGCCTTCCAAATATGTTAGGATTTCTCGATTTCTTATCACTTAGAAAAAAATCTTTAACTTTTCAAAAAGGGTATTAAGGTTTCTTAAGAAACCGGATTTCTGAAGAATCTGGACCGAATTTTTATATACTAATTTTAATAATGCGTATTATATTATGCCGTATGCGGCATACGAAAATAGAATTATGTATTTAAACATATTGGGGCATATGGTATGCCCCAATATGTTAAAAATGCATAATTGTAGTTTTTTTTTCTATGTTAAACTAGGTATTTTCTTCATTAGAAAGAAATTAAAAAAATAGTTTAATAGTTAAAATGGGTTGATTTTTTTAAATGATGGAGATTTCGCTTCAAAGATAACATTAATAATAATAATAATTATATTTTAACATTATCAGACTTACATACATTTAATCCAAATTCATCATTCAAATCAAATTAATTGGTTTAAGTTTTATGACTAACGAATTACAATTTAATAGACAAGAAAAAGTAAGAACTTTGTTAGGCTATTTAATAAAATATATTTGCATGTTTTATTTCACTTATAAAAACGTTTTTCGTTTACTACGTGCCGCGACTGTTCGAGTATTTGGTAATACGAACGAATTTCTATGTAAATATCTCAAGGGACCCTTCCTATCGACACTGATTTGGGTTTTTGATCTATTTCTGTTTTGGGGACTTTTAGTAATGGTATATATGTGTACAAGTTACAGCGCCATTTAGTCCCAAGCTAAGCTTGTGTTACGAGTACTAGACAACCTATAGAAATGCGTTTATATATATGGTTTTTTAATTTGAATATATGTTTTGTACATGCTTATATAATATACACAGAAAACATCCAGACCTATACACACAATTTTACTTGTAAATAGATATGTTAGTACCGAGCGAGGAATCGAATCCGCGACTATCGGAAGTGAGTGTGCTAAACCGCTAGATCATCGAGGTATCAACGAGTACCTTGAGCTGTATTCTAAGCTAGTAGCGTCGTAAGATACATAGCAGTAATTTATAAATTTCTTATAAGTAATATGTAGATATAAGGTCTAAGGTTTTATTTCCATAAGAAAATACGACGGCAGTAAACGTTAGTTTACGGCGACAGAGAAAATAATATAGCACAATTTACGCGAACACCGTTCTATTCCGTTGGACGAATGGTCTAGCCTAAAGTCCGGCCGCTCAGAGTTTGTGTTTATGACAGTTCGAGATCGAATGGGTGATGTATCTTTTAACAGACGTACAATTTCCGGCAAAACACTAAATATCATTATAAGGCCACATGACTACAAAAACAAACAGTTGCTATAACCTTGAAACATCGCAGTTTAATGTGGTTTATCTTTTAAAAACTATTGTTTTTATATTTTTTAAATAGTTAATAATGTTAGTCTCAAATTAATACGTTTATTGTAAGGTACAATAATGATTAAATTTTTTATGTCATCTCTCGTTAATAAGGCAAATAAAAGATATTGAAAAATTTTGTCGTAAACTGTACGTCAGTTCAAAGTTATATCGCCTATGCGATCCCGGCCTGTCAGAAAGCAAACTCTGAGCGGCCGGACTGTAAGTTCGTTGCTTAATTTGGGGAACGACCATGACGCTATAAAATGGGGTTAACGTATCTACATATATTGCTGCAAGTACTGTGCGTACACTCCGAGGGGAGAGAATTGTTAGACTTGGAGACTAGTGACCCTATTACCGGGTCAACCTGTATGCGAAAATCAACCTAATTGTGTTGTAATTTATGTACATTTTAAGTATTTGTATCAACTGTCTGGTACCCATATTCTTGTTTTAGTTGAGACTAGTAATAGCGCTGTGTGAATTATCTTGGTTAATATTACTATAATTATATTACTATTATACTATATATCTTGAAGTGAAAGAATTTTTAAATATTTTTACTTACCGACCCCAATTATAGGAATGACCGCAATGATCATTTATTTGCTTGCAAATAAATGATCATTGCGCTCATTCCAATATTCGTGGTTGGCGCAGTATGTTATCGTATTCCACTGATCGGCCGTCATATCTGAGCTCAATCTTCTTTTCTATAATTTTTTACACAAACCATCCATTAGGTCGACCTCTCCCTTTACATCCAACTACGTTCACATTAAGTACTTTCTTTAAAATATGACATTCATTACAGACAAATAACTAAATATATTTTTTTTTCTCTTTGTATAATTTTAGTTGACCAGCGCCACTTCATCTGCGTCACATTTTCCCCGTTTTTGCAACATTTTTTATTTTTGCTCCGCTCCTATTGGTCGTACAGTGATGTCATTTAACCCATAGTTTTCCTCGATAAAAAGCATATCCAAAACTAAAACAATATTTCAACTCGAACCAGTAGTTTCTAAGATTAGCGCGTTCAAACAAACAAATAAACTCACCAGCTTTATGATATACTAATATCATAAAGTTAAAGAGTTTGATATTTATTTATTTAAACCTTCATCAGTAATGCAGTCCTGACTCCCAAACTAGCGTGAACTATGTAGATCAGTGTACTTGTATATTATTAATATTCCATACTTCCGAAGTCATATTTCATTAATTGATTTCGAATTATGTGAGCACCTTGATTATGTAACGTATTCGCAATTATTATTGACATTTCCAATATTGTATACATTAATGAGAATGCATTAATTGCAACCGCGTTACATAATGAAACCACCAGTCACAAATAAGATTTCATTGCATCGGTTTTATACGAAATACGAGTATTATACAAGTCGTGCTAATGAAAAGGACTTGTACAGTTTCATTAGAATTTTATTAGAATGGCTAACGTAATGACGTTATAGTGCAGTTCTAGATATAATATTAGTAGTTTTAAAAATACTAAAAATAGCAGAACATAAAAATAATATTTATAGACAGACAGACATTCAGTTTGCCAATAACTATATAGTCCAGTACCATAGGCGCAATTTCTTTATAAGTAAACGTATGTAAAGTCAAGATGTACGAGGGTACATAGTTTAAAATTACACATATTACAATATTTGTAGCTATATCACGTTATCGGTTATTGATTTTATTATTAATATGAAATAATTTCCTTTTGATAAAAAAATACAATAGCATACGCTGGTAGTCACTACATTATCCCCAATTTAATTTAAAAAAGAATCTGTAATGTTTTATGTACGAGCTTATTTGAAAATTATAAGAGTTGAGTTTCTTGGCCGTTCTTCTTAGCTCGAACGCACTCCGAACTCACGGTAGAAAATAGAAATAGAAAATAGAAAATCATTTATTCAAATAAACTTAATTTAAGCACTTTTGAATAGTCATAACAATTTGTTTTTATCTACCACTCGTTCGGAAAGCTGTCTCATCACAAGAAGAACGAGCAAGAAACTTGTGTGTTGCTCTTTTAAATAATCCTTGTAAGTTTACATTTACAAGTCGAAACGTGTGTATACAAACTACCAACAAACACTAATTTTTTGGGTCAAATATAAATATGCAATAAGATTAAATCAGCCGTAGTGATAAGAGCAGACCAGTCCCTACAAGCAGCACTCGTTCACGAGTATAACGGATGAGCCAGCCATCACTGCGCTCGACCATATTTTAGGGAGCCCAATGACCCACCACGCTGCCACTTGTCTGGACATTTTAGTGAGCATGATAGATTTCATATATCAAAAGAGTCTGTAATAGACATGAATAAAGAGATTTTAATTTGGATTTTTTTATTTTATATAAATACTAGCTATGTTTCAATACGAGCTATGCTCGCGGTTTCACTCGAGTGAAATTTATAGCCTATGTGTTAATCTGAAGTGTGATATTACTGTATCAATAAAATTTGACCATAATTTTTGCGTGAAAGAGCTACATATATCCATCCATCTATACACACAAACTTTAGCATTTATAATATGTATACTATATGAATCCTATACATCTTTGACATACTTATATGTTTTGTTACAGATTAGTACGTATGGTGGCTGCAAACCGTGCCACTTATTTCCACCAGAAGGTTTGCTCTCATTGCCAGAGGTTTCCTGGTCTTCAAACTTGGCTGACGAGGGCGACCCCCAATGGCATTGAGGTGAGATAGTTTTAATAAATATTTCTTGAAAATTAATTCAAATCAAATCAGAAATCATTTACTCATGTAGGACCTTTTTTAATCAATTAAAAATGTAATATGTGAGTTAAAGATCTTTAAAATGAAATTTCGGCTGTGTTCAAGGATTTATTTTTCCGAACACTTACCACTTTGCTCACATTTCAAAATCAAACCCTCCATTCAGAGAAGATTCAGAACAACTTATTTCTTTAAACAATTAAAATTATTTTACATTGTTTATAAAGTTTTATAAATATCTACATTAAATATGATAATATAACATTACAATTCATACTAAATACAGTTTCTACAAATAAACTATAAGTAGTTATTTCACAACACTTATTTCAAAAGTCAAATATCATATTAGATACTAAATTACTATAATCTTACATATGGGATACTAGCGACATGTCTTTCTTCTATGAACCTATGTATATTTATTACGAGCTACTCGCCCCGTCTTCGCACGGATATACATGTATTATACATATAACTTCTCCTACACATACAACCTACCTATTGAATCACTCTATCTATTGAGAAAAACCGATTCAAAATCCGTTGCATAGTTTTAAAGATTTAAGCATACATAGGGACAGGCAGCGACATCGACTTTGTTTTATACTATGTAATGATTTATCTATATTTCGCACTATGAATATTTCTCTTCAATCACTCTATCTATTAAACTACTGAAAATGCATTAAAATACGTTCCGTAATTTAAAAGATATTAGCGAATAGATAGCGTCGGTGACTTCGTTTTATAGTGTGTAAAGATTGTACCTGCAGTTAAGAATCTCATAGTTCCCCATCACCCCCTATTTACCGCCACAACACCCCAGTCTAGCGCCGTCACTAATTGCGAACTAATTAACAGGAGCCGGCGTTAATTAGAGCACTTTACTGAATTATGCCACTGAACTTCCTATGCGCTGGAATGAATACATACACCTACTTCGTAACAACTTTTTATATATCTTTATATATAAAAATGACGTGTCACGTTATTTGTCCGCGATGGACTTCTAAACTACTGAATCGATTGCAAATTTGATTTGCATATTCTGTGCAATTTGATCCAACTTGAAAGATAGGATAGCTTACATCTCAATTTATAGTCGCAATATTATTTAACCTTAGCCACAACGCACGACCGAGTCTGCTAGTATTTATATATGGAGTTAAACGGGTCTCACATGAGCTGATGCTTGTCTAAAAAAAATGCTTTTATTGAACTTACATAGTTGGTATGTTTGTTCATGTAATATATTACAGTATAATTGTTACGGCGTCGGTGGTCTAGTGATTTAGCACACCGCCTTACTTACAATGGTCGCGGGTTCGATTCTTCGCACGGCACAAACATTTTATATTCATGTGTATGATTCTTTGTATCGATGGTTTTATATGAGCAATATATATGTGTTTTCAAAAAAAGTGTATGGGTTAGTACACAAGCTCTGCTTAATTTGGGACTAGATGGCGCTTTGTGAATTGTCTTGAGAAAAACAAATTGAAGCTATTATATTAAGACGTTGTGGTTTGTCCAGGGGTATTATTATTATAATATAAATATTAAGATCATTCTCGGAACTCAATAAATAAGGAGGTAGCGTTAATGGGAAATCAATATTCGAAACCTTGCCAACTTACAAATTAGATTAACTGGAGACTCGCAGATGGTTTCTGAATTGCTACTCTACCATAACTTGATGAGTCTGTACTTTATTTATTGAGAGAAATTGTTTAGAAATTATTCATTATTAAACATGGAGTAAAGATAAGCGGTAGCGGGCACCAGTGGAGGATGATAGGTTGTATGTGAAGTCAGGTCAATTTCCCCATCGTGTCGAATTTACCAGAAATTGTTGACCATTATGGTTTCCAGGGGGTGACCGTGTGGAGGGCGACTTGACATAGACTTGACTTGAGGTATATTGCTAGTAATGTGGCTACTATCCTCATTACATTAGATTTTTGCTTTCATGTCGGTGTTTTTTTCACCGCAATTATAATCGATTTTAACTCACGACCTCATGGGCGTAATTCAAGGTAGTAAACCACTAGACCACGTATACCGTTGTACCGCTTGAATTGGTATAAAGCTATTTTTTTTCAAACTTACTAGTTTAAGATGTTTTTTGATTGGGGTAATGTAGCCTAAAGCCTTCTAAAATTCAAAAAGTAATTCTTAGCAGATAAATGGCAAGATGGTTGACAAAGGGAAAAAATCTAAGAATCAGATTAAAAAATGTGTAACAATAATAAGTTCAGATTTCATCCCCATTCTTTTAGAAGCTATGGTTAAATATATTACAAAAAATCAGATGACTACAAATGGTAAAAAAAATTGAATTTGTAAAAAATAATAGGTACTTGTTTGCATTTATGATATTAGTCATTGTTATATAAAATATATACAGTCTGAATAATTTCATTTTGTAACATACTGTCACTTCTTTATTATATCTATGTATAATCAGATATACTATGGATAATCTGAATAATTTCATTTTCTTATTTTTTCGAACATGTCATGATCACAAAATGAGTCACGTCCCACTTTGCAAATTGACAGCCGAGTACATATGATACGTATTTTGAGTCTTATCAGCAAGAGGTTTAGGTCTGCTTTTTTATAGCAATTTAACCATTTGCGTCTGGCATTTCGTCGCAATTTCTTATTACATTTTTCCTAACGAATGCTATATCTGTGACTTGCATCTCAATGGTGCAAGTATTGATTATAACGTGGTTACTTCTGTAAATATCAATAGGGGGAGGGGATTGGAATAATGGAGACCTGTCAGGCGGGTTTCCTTACGGCCCTGGAAAATACCTTGTTTCAATTCACGCAAATTCGCACTATGTTTAACTGATCTGACTTCACACTTATTTTATCATCTCATTATTATTGGTGCCCACCGGATATTCGGATATACATACAGTTAATTTGTTTATTTGAACATTTGTATGCCTTAACGGTATGTCAAATAGTGTGTGTAATGTTTTTTATTGATTTAATGTATTTTTAACGCATAATTAAAAAAATATATTTGCATTCTGCACTCCTTCACTATATAAACTAAAATAAGAGTGCAAACTTTCGTTATTTTATCGGCGCAATTTTCGTAAAAAGGGGTACAAAGTTCTTGCTTCAAGTATTAATGTAATGATATATTAATGTGTTTTTTAAGTTAAAAATTTGTTGCAGCCGATGCTGATCGCCCGAAGAGAATATCCTTATCATAGATGGGAACCACTATACTTCGGCACCCACAAGGAGCCTTGGTACAGCGAAATGTTATCATGGGAAGGACGCCAGGACAAAATGACACAAGTAAGATTTTTTTATATACCTAATAATCTATTAGACAGGCTATGTTACTCTGGTGGCATTTCTCAAATTTATGCTGTTGTGCCTACACTTGTAATATTTGTGTCAACACTCGACACACTCCCATTAGTTTATCTCTCCAAATAACATAGATTTAAGTTAAGTGTAAAGCTAGTGTACGTCCCGACTCCGCGTCGAATGTACGCATTACTAATGAGCCCTGGAGCAGAATATCAATAAACTTAGTAATGTACAATAAATAGAACAATTACTTCACCTGTATACTCACTACCTAGATACTACAATAAACAATATATTATGTAGCGACCTCATCATATCATACATAATGCTACAGTGGTCAGGTGATAACCACCGCACTACACAGTGGTTCTCAAGTTTGCTTTATAATAGAATCCTCTCTTTTTATATATTTTAGTATTGATGATTTACCTATACATCTTCCATATATGTGTTCTATTGTTGCTATGGATATGTATATGAATGGCAAAAGTGCACAATGTATTGTTATATTCCTGTGGATAATAATGTAATAGTTGTTAACTTATTTACTGTACAGTAACAGTAACTTATTACTTATTAAGTCTACAGATGACATTGATGTTACATAATGAGTCTTAATTATAAATATAGTCATTTTTCAAAATTATCAAGTATTATTATTTTCACACTTTTTGTAAGCAGAATGTATGAAGAGATACAACTCAGAAGAGTGATATTCAGAAAAAGTATTAAATAAAATAAAAGCCGTTATAATAATAATAATTCGTATTTAAGTTTTTAGGTAGTAAGCAGCAAGTAAATTTAATTGAATTAAAATATGTTCGGCACATAGTATGATTATTACGATATTGAAGTTGATTTGTACATGGGAATAGTAAAAGGGAATAGAGAGAGATATTCCCATGTATAGCATCGTACGTGGGAAATAAGAAAATAATTTGTACCACCATTTTCTTGCAGTCGGTTATAAATACTACCTACACAGTACGCACATATAAGAAACATATTTTATGTCTAATATTACTCTCTCTATTCCCTTTTATTATATTTGATTTATTATTTGTTACACTTCACTCTTCAAATCAATTTGGCATAAATATTTAATTGTAAAGCAATTTCACGTAATTGCAAATACGTGACATTTACACAAGAGCGAACAAATGTCAATTGTAATTGACATTTAGTTTACTCTGTGCTACAGATAAGAAATAAACGCGTCTTCACTTGTTATAATTACGATTCCCTGTCCGTTATGGTTGCGAATGAATCGGATCATCCGTACCCCTGTAGGAGTGTTCAAGTTGAGATCTGGGGATTTCGGGGCGAGCCCCTTTACCCCAGCACCGATTCAAGGGGCACAACCCCCGGGGGACTGATGAGCATCCTCTCTTAGGCAGGAATGCTTGAAGTTCTTAAATTTACAATTATTACAAGAGAATTTGCAACTAAACCTAACTTAAGATGCTATATTTGGGGACCGAGTTTTATAAATTATTTTTTTTTCTATGGTTGCCTGTATATTTTTGTGGTACTGTGGAGGTTGAACAACTGATGGCGGTTCAGATGATAAGTGGTCATCGACGCATCTTCTATGTATATTTGAACGGCATCACGGTCATCAAGTTATCCTATAACACCCGTGGTAGCTATAATCCAGCTTTCAGGCGAGTTCAGAATCTAATTGAAAAAGAGGTTATATACCATGCTATTTGTCGGCTAAAATAGATACAGTCACAGACGATTTTGGACAAAGTTTACGTTTTGTGGATATTACTCAGTACAGACTACATACAGATTGTATTTAAGTCGTAACTAAAAGGTTAAATTACTTGCTTAGTGATCTTAATATCATCTTATTTTAATAAAGTTTGTAAGTATGGATGTTACTCGTTCACGCAAAGACTACTGAACGGCTTTTGATGAAACTTTACAGTAATATAGCTTATGCATCAGAATAACATATATAGGCTATATTGTTTATTGAAATTTGTATATTAAAGTTTAACGCGAGTGAAACCGCGGGCACAGCTAATATTATTATTTATTATATTATAAATAAATAAGAAAATACTTTATACTTTATAAATACATTCTTTGCTTTTGAATTCCACTCATGGCTATCAATAGGGGAATGAAACTCTTTTCAAAAGTCGTTTTATGTAACCTGATTAATCCAGCAGTAATTATTCAGAGCACGAAGGATTGACGTCTTCTTAAAGTGGGCAGACGTCATTCGCTACCTGGATAATAATATTCTTAGAATTTATTTAATAATAGCAACAAAGGAAAATGAATTGTATAATATTTCTACAATGGCAATTAGTAGATACCCGACCAACGCATTGGTACATGAAATTATAATCAGTTTAAGAAGCTTCTTTTATAGTGCTTTGAAATCTTGTCGAATCTTATAAGCACTTTGCTGACTTGACTACACGTTGCTATGATTAAGTAATTCTAGTATTAGAGCTGCATGTCCACGTCTTCCTACAAAACGTGCCACTATGAATATTTTCTGCAATAACTAATCAAACTCGATGAAATTTTGTTTATAGGATATGACACCAATATCAATGTTTCATATAAGTCACAATTTCTTTAAACATGTTTATTTTAGAATTATACGTAACTGAGAAACTTGATTTTCGCCAAAAAAGGATCTATGGATCTAAATAGTATGGATAATGTGGATCTAAAAAATGATCTCTTTATGTCATTCGCATGAATAGTCTAAGACAGTATGAAAATTTTAAATAATGGGTATGCCATTAGAAAAATTCAAATAACTATATTTTTCCTGTAATAATAGAGTAAACCGAATAGAACGGAATGTAAATATTTTCGAAAATTTGATTGAAATTATTGTGCTATCGCGCTTGGATGAAGAGAGAAGCAGTCTCTGAATAGAGATAGAATGAATACTGAAGTATACCTACATCGTAATATTATTGGACACACTTCTTTCAAGATAATTAAAAACTGTACTATATTTTAAGTTGGGGCAATAACAAATTAGTATAAATTAATGAGCCAAATTTCATGAAATTGGTTAAGTAGTTTCGCATTCTATTTGGTGAACGCTGAATTTGAAACACGTAGTATTCAGGGTAGGTCGCTGGAGTAGGATACAACTAGGCCAAGGTGCACTCAAATATTAATATAATAAATTTAAAAAGTAATTACATTTCCATTGTATAGTTATTTTTGGTTGTGTTGTTATTTTTTATTGTTTCTTTATTTTTATTATTTATTTCTAGATGCTAGAAATGTGCCTGCAGGAATACAAGTTTGTTATTCTCGATGGGGATTCATGTGTCACGCCTTCCCAAGTTTCAGAATTAGACTGAATTTCAACAACTTCGATATTTTCAGACGTTCCAGGATGTCTAATACATATAGATATTTTCTTTTATTACGTTCGTTTAAAAAGAAATATAATATTAGTAAAGTGAAGAAAAAGACAGATTGTAAGAAGTGTGATGTTTTCTATGCTCTTTGATTTTTTTATATTTACTGTTGTTTTAATGATATAGTTTTAATAAATACGTTTTGTTTTTTTTTCTATTAAGAATTATTTAGTGGCGACATATGTACACATAATATTTTTCATTTTTTCAATAGGTTTCAATATGAAGCAGAACAAATTATTATTTTATAGTATTACGTTTCCATAAGAAACGTAATATTATTTATTTTGAATACTTAGAACTTTCTTTATAAATGTAAATTAATAATATTTCTAGCATTAGCTATAACCACAAATAACATAATGTTATATACTATAACTAACATAGCATCTGTATTAATACAATAATAAGATACTTAATTTCTACACATTCACGGCTACTACAGCAGTATCTCCACACCAAAGAAAGAAAGTAATAAATATGGTAATTTTGGTATGTTTATTTATAATTAGGGTAGTCCGTAAGACGTGTAAGAACAAACAAAATAATTAGGTACCAACTTGGAATAAGTTCAAGAAGCAGGGAATATACTTACAACGTGTAAATGAACGTAATTTCTACGCAGCAATTAGAAAGACTCATGTTTGTTTATCAAATAAGACAATTTTCTGTATAATTAATTAAGCAACTATATTTCTGAAGAGAATAGTCTAATTTCACGTCAAAAGTAAGGTATAAGTAATATTTCAGTTAGTATCGGTCTGTCGGGTCGGGTGTCGGGTGTTTTCTATGTATATGTGTATACAAAATAATGTGTATTTATAAGTTATCTAGTGCCCATAACATAAGCACTGTTTATTATTCTGAACGTATGTAATGGTGACTCAGATGTTTATCATTACATTATTAAATAAGAAAAATTACATTTACATTATTAAAATAGATTAAGTATAGTATAACAATAGATTAAAATTGAAAACCTAATATTTTATGTCGCTGATGTTCCCTTTTTCAACTCGCTCAATTTTCGAAGCTTCATAGAGCGAAAGCTTTACTCCATTGAACTTGATGTTTTCTCTTGAATTTTTTAAAGCCGTAAGTATCAGGGTTATTTAATAATTTATTAATTTTAGTGTAATATTGTCACTAGATGTTGGAACTCTGTCTCCAAGAGTACCGGATGGTAGTCCTGGATGGTGCATTTCTGTGTCACGCTGCTGTCACGAAGGCAGCCTACCGTCACAACCGGGCTGAACGAGTCAACACCCAGAGGTATATGAAGATCATAGGTGCTCTCAAACAGAGGTACCCTGACCGTCCCCAGTGCAAGGTTATGTGGGGATGCCAAAACCGCTGAATATTTATTTACTTGAATGATATTACAACACTATTGTAGCAAAATATCAGTAGTTTTAGGTAACAGGAAAGGTAAAAGATGGCTGGATGTATGGATGGCTGTATGATTAACCAATTGTTGTTATATACGTGAAAATCAATGGACATCACGTTGATATTAAGTAACGGCTCGAATCTTGGATAATCTCAAAAAACATATCGTTTTTCATACACTGCCAGAGAAATGAAAGAAACTGGTCTATAGTGATGAGCAGAGATTAAAGAAACTCTTAACCGGACTCTAGTGATAAAATGTTTTGTTACTTTGAATAAAATGTTTTTTTTTTATATTAAAAAAAAACACTTGTAGTAATAAAAACACCGAGAACTTATTCAAGATCCTAAAATTGTTTAAGAATTCTAAAAAAATTGCTTATTATTATTATTAGTCAGTAATACGAGAACATACTAAGTTTATTCAATGCATATGCATAGTGTTTAGTTATGATAGTGTGTTCATGTTTTAGAAATGAATAATTTTATAATTGATTAATTGTAAAGTATTGTAAATGAGTTATTGTTGTAATTTATAAAATTCTTCGTTTGTATTATATACCAAATGCAAACAAAGTAGGTATTCACATTTATATTCTAGTATAAAGTATTTTCAGTTTATATTTCTATAATTGAATATTGAGTTTTTTTTTCGCTCGTATTTTAACAGAATACTCGTACATATTACTAGCTACTTGTATTGTAGAAAATGTTTGTTGCATTTTTACGATGCATAGTGCGAGAAAAATACTGGAGTTTGCAGGCGGTGAAATGTATTATTTGATTGCGTACGACTGTGTTCTTTTATTGCATACAACAGTAGCTTTTATATTGTTTGGAGAACTGTTTTATTACTATAATACAGTTAGAAATGGAAATTGTACTTATTTGATGAACAATATTTGTATTTAATTGAGGGCATCGCTGGTTTAGTATACCGTCTGACTTCAGAAGGTCGCGAGTTCGATTCCTCGCCCGGCCACAAACATTTGTATAAATATGATTGTCTGTATCGATCTGGGTGTGTTCATGTATATTATGTAGGTATTTACAAAAAACATGTATTTGTATCAGTTGTAACACAAGCTCTGCTTAGCTTGGGATTAGATCGCGCTGTGTGAATGGTTCTGGAATAACGAAATAATATAAATAAAAAACGAACCCTATTAATTTTTAACATTAAGTTGCTAACAATATACCGCGTGTGTGATCTTGGGTTAAATAATTTTAATAACTAAATAACAAAAGACACACTTAATAGTAAAAGCATTATCTACTTTTCATAATAAAAAATGGTAAAGGATCATCAGATCAGTAATGGGGAACCTTAGATCCTTGACTTGACTGAAGAATATGAACAGTCTAAGTCGTAAATACATAGTTTCGGCCGCCACCTCACGTGTATTTTCAATCCTGAGAACTATGTTGTTTTCTATCTTTATTTATGATCTAGTTATTGAGTGCAGAGATGTCTCGCTTTTACATTATACTCGTGAATGAGTGTTGCTTATAGGGATTGGTCTATTCTTATAATGATATGAAATATGACTGATTTATTTAGTTACTCAAGTACCTATTTATATTTATGTACACTTTGCTATTTGGTACTTTGTATTCACAGAAAATTGTGATTCGGAACTATAGTATGTGTACTATGGTGCGGGTGACAGCTGCTACATTAAACAGTTGCTAAATTTAAGTTACTACAGTTATAAATGATTTAATATATTACGAATGTGGTACAGCTGAAATACTAAGTCGTAGTTTCTAAATCGCGGCAACTTTCAAGAGTGAAACGAAAACTTACTGAAACTGTCACCCGCACCATACTACAGCGCACATGGTATACATTTATTCAAAAGAGCAACACGTAAGTTTCTTGCTTATTCTTCTTGTCATGAGTCCGCTGAATAATAATAATAATCTCAGGACAATTCACACAGCGCCATCTAGACCCAAGTTAAGCTAACTAAAGCTTGTGTTATGGGTCCTAGACAACTGATACAAATACATAGATAATTTTTTTTCGTAATTACATACATGTTATACATAGAAAATACCCAGACCGATGCAAACAATCATACTCATGAATACAAATGTTTGTGCCGTGCGAGGAATCGAACCCGCGACCATCGGACGTAAAGCCGAGGTCGTCAAAGAATCGTCGTGAATGAGTAGTAGAATTAAAAATAATGTTATATGACTATTCAATAATGCTTATATTAGGTTTATTTGAATAAAGATTATTTTTGTTTCTTTTATTTTACTCATTTTATATTGTAAAACATGTAAGTAGATGTCTTATGTATGTTTCCGTCCACTATGTGGTGATATTCTTAATATTGAGTTCCTCAATGTTATATAGTGATTTTCTTCTCTCATGTTTATCAACCTTGTAATTATATAATAGTTTATATATTGTATACATTTTATTAGAAATGTTATTGGCCTAATTTATAGATAGAATTGAACTATATTTATTTTATTTTTAGCGGTCAAAAACCAATGCTTCATTTTTTTGTTGCGGGATTGAATCCCGTGCTATACAAATATTTGTATTCATTAGTCCGTGTGATGTTATATTGTTCTAGTATATAAAAAAGAGAGCAAGGTATGCCTGTCAGTTTTCTAGTACCAATGTATTATATCTTAGTTTGGGACTAGACAGCGCTGTGTGAATTGTCTAGAGTTACAATTATTATCTAACTAAATGACTATTGTATATCTATGTAACTCTGTAAATATCTAACAATAATTGTAAATTGTAATCATCATAAAAAAATAATAATAATGTATGTACTTTCAACTTTGTTACCACAAAATATGTGGTGAACGCATCATTTGACTTGCCTACATATCGTTGGGTATATCGACTCTATATATTATTGAAAACAAGTAAGTTAACGATAAGCAAGTAAGAAAATATAGTCAACGACAGCAGTAAGGTCATCTACTGCTATCTTGCGTATTCATTTTTGCTTGTTACCGATGTTTCTATAACCGGAGAGTCAGTTAAAGGTATAAATTGACAGAAAGCTTATAGTGTGTATAAACTACGGCATTAGAGTCTAAAGAGAAGCAGTAAATTCTATGCCATGATTTAATATTTGCAATCATAATAAATACTTTCACACACAACCATTGAAGACTCTTTTTTCATGGATCAAAATTATGTTTAAGTATTATAAAAATATTATGTATGTAATTATAAATTTTAACTAAATCAAGGTACTTGTAAAATATTTGTAAATAATTCTAAATTACTTAATGTGGAAAATTTTGTCCCCAAATAAAGGTTCTATTAGGTATATATATATTTGTTTTATTTTATTGTACCCGTTTCAAATTAGTCACCCATACTACGAGTAATATTATAATTGCTAAACCGTGTGTCTGTCTTTGTTACATTCTCACTACTAAACGCTTAAATGGATGTTAGTGACATTTAAAGTGAAAATATATTGAATTACGAGTACGTACATTCATATAAATAGTCAAAGTAACAACTAGTATTTTATAAAAAAATTTATTAACAACAAAATAGATAGGTGTTTGTTATTCTTTCACGCAAAAATTAATGAACGGATTCTGCTGAAACTTTACAGTAATATAGCTTACTAGCTACTCCCCCCGGCTTCGCACGGGTGTACATGTATTATATATATACCTTCCTCTTGAATCACTCTATTTATTAAAAAAACCGCTTCAAAATCCGTTGCGTAGTTTTAAAGATTTAAGCATACATAGGGACGGACAGACAGCGACAGCGACTTTGTTTTATACTATGTAATGATACATCAGAATAATATTTAGGCTATAAATTTCATGCTCGTGGTACCGCAGGCATAGCAAGTTATTTATATTGTTAACCGGACCTTAACACGAATAATTTTACAATAAAGATTTTTTAGATTACTCTCTATTGTAGACATGCAATCCTTACTCCTTACTAATATTATAAATATCAAAGTAACTCTGTCTGTGTGTCTGTATATCTGTCTCGCTTTCAAATCAAAACTACTGAACCTATTTAAATGAAATTTGGCACACAGATAGTCTGCACCCTGAGAAAGGCCATTGGCTACTTTTGATTGCGAAAAAAGGGGGTTGAAAGGGGAGATGAAAGATTACATGGAAGTAATGTCATTTTATGGGGACGAAGTCGCGGGCACAGATAGTTATCACACAATATTTTTACAATAAGTGTGACATCAGTTTGTAATATCGTTAGGGTTATTACATGTATGTATGTATTGTTATTAAGGAATGTTGTAACGTAATACGTAGATTTCTTTTCTGTTTTTATTTACAAAACGCAAACTGTCTCAAAAGAATATTATGTGAGGACAAATAAAATAATACCTACAAATAATAAATAAATAGCTTTACCGTAAACGAGAGGAGGAAAGTAAATAACTAGATGAAGAACTCATCTAATATCTTGTTTGATCAAAGGCAGGTATTTGATATTGTTTATACTCGTATGTATAAATAGAATAGGCGTCTGATATCTTCCATTACATTTATATTATACTAGCTGTACCCGCGTAACTTCGTCCGCGTGGAATTTATTGATATGAATTCTTTTATTTTTCTAAAATAAAAGTAGCCTAAGTTACTCCTTATTACATCAGCCATCTGCCAAAAAAAGTCTCGTCAAAATCGGTCCAGCCATTTCAGAGATTAGTCGGAACAAACAGACAGACAAAAGTTGTGAAAAATGTTATTTTGGTGTATGTACCGTATTTATATTCATATGCATGTAGTAAAAAATGGTTATTTCAATATTATAAAGAGACACTCCAATATTATTTATATGTGTAGATTTAGTAGTGAAATGAATTTGTTATTGTGTTTGTATATTCTTTTAGATATTTTTTATAATATTTATTAAGTAATATTATATTATTATTAATAATAATTATCATCTTTAAATATGAATAATTTAAATTGGCATAGGATTGGTAG